CGGGTCTGGGACTCAAATCTGTAGCCGACTACGTGGGAGTCCAGCGACATAGCCATTACTCTAACTGCTGGTTCCCTAGATTGTTTTACTTTTCAAGTATATTTACTGCAGTAGTTCTCGTTAATAAAATGCTTTAACAAGTATAATATATAATTTTGAAAAAGATCTTTTGTTTTTAAGATTTTTGCCATAGGGCATGTGAGCTTGCAGAAGACAGAGACAGGGAAAATGAGAAATCATCCCATCCCTCTCACCCCCACCCCCAGGGGATGACCACACTGCAATTCCATCTTCATTGTCTTGGGATTTTAGGAGCATACACACAGGCACCTGGCCTGTTTTTCAAGTCACTAGATCTGGGATTTGAACCACAGGATCAGCTGTGCGGGATCCAGCGCCTTAACCACCACTCTACCTGCTGGTCCCAAAATGTCCTTTTTTAGGGGACCAGCAGATGGCGCAATGGCTATGTCGCTGGACTCCCATGTAGTCGACTGCAGTTCGAGTTCCGGATCCAGTGACTTAAACTCACGCCAGGTGCGTGGGTGTGTGTTTCCCAAGACCCCGAGAGAAAGAAGGAGAAGGGATTGCGGTGTGGCCATCCCCCTGGGGGTGATCTCTCTCTCTATCTGCCTTTCTGGCAAGCGCACACTCCCTATAGCAAAAACCTCTCCAAAAAAAATCCTTTTTCAATGTTAACAATTACTAACGTATACGTACATATATAGAAGAGATGTGCTTTTAATTTCTACCCTGACATACATCTTTTGGAACAGGAATATGTCCATGAGCATCTAGTTTTTGTTTTTTGTTTATTTGTTTAAGAATTATTTATTTTTTTAATTTAACTTTATTTATTTTAATTTGACCAGAGAGGGACAGAATGAGAGAGAGGAAGTAAAAAGCAAACCTCCAGGTCCAGGACTCGAACCATAGTCGGCCATGTGGGAACCCTGCGCCCTTAACCACCATGCCACCTGCCAGCCCCATAGTTTTTATAGCACTTGTTTCACACTATTAGAAATAATGGAGCAGTTGGAACCTTTCTTTTATGATTTGAGTTTTTACCCCACAGTGGTGGAGATTCTGAGTCTTACTACGTGTTACCTGTTCTACCTCCAGTCTAGCTTCTGGCTTCTTTTGCTTTGTTTCGTTTTGGCTATGGGGTGCATTTGCTTGCCAGAGAGAGAGAAAAAACAAGAGAGAAAGTAAGAAATCAGCCCCCCAGAAGGGATGTCCATGCTGTAATCCCTTCTCTTCTGGGGAGTGTGGACATGCACGCACACATGCCCAGCGTGTTTTTCAAGCTGCCAGATCTGGGACGCAGATGCGCCCACTGGGCCATGTGAGATCCAGCGCCTTAGCCCCCGTTGCACCTGGCTGGCCTAACTTTTGGCTTCTTTATTGCCTAGACACTACTGCAGGAAATGAGATCCGTGCATGGAACAAGGTATCCAATTCATGGTTTTTAGAATTTTAGAAGCAGCATTTATTTTTTATCTGATAATAAAAGTGATATTTGGTGGAGAAAATTTGGGAAATGCAGAGAAGAAAATAATTGTGTGTGTGTGTAAATAATTTGTGTGTATAGTTCTACCACTCACAACTAAGTTTTTTACCTTCTACTAGGTTTTCATTTATTGGGTTGTCAAAAGCTCGTGGTATTTTTTTCTATGTTTTTCTATGCAAAACTGCATCATGCCTTTTCTGACAACCCAGGATATCTGCACACTCATCCTGTGGAAACCTTATTCAGAGGCCATGTCTGTAGCAGTGGGAAGCACGGTTTCCAGAGTTGGGCTGTCTGGATTCTATCTTGGCTGTGCCACCTGCTCCCTCTGTGACAATGGGCACGTCACTGAGCTTCCTCCTCACCTGTGCTATAGGAGTAAACTTTGCTGTGAAAGCCAAATTAAACCCTCCATGGACAACGCAGTGCTAGACCATAATACCTTCTCATCACCATGTCCTCTGCTGTCACTGCTCATCGCCAGCAGCGGCGTCTCGTAGAAGTGGTGCTCGTTCCCGCAGCGCTGAGTGTGTGGTCAGACTGAGTTCCTGGATGCCAGCATGCTTGTGGAGAGTGGCGTACTTGATAGCGTTCTTCAAGCTTATCAGCTGGGCAGATTTCACAGTCGATATCTTTTTATATTCACAGGGGTCAGGAGAGTGCTGGCATTGTCACCAGTGACGGTAACTCAGTGCCAACGTTCAAAACGCACAAGGTAAATCTGAACTTTCAAAATGTTGATGATAAAGCTTACAATACCTAGTGGTCACTAGTATATGAGGTGATGGAGGCCCAGAATCGATTTGAAGTAATATTCTCTGTGTCAGCCATTTCCAACGTGATATTCTTTTGTTTTGTTTTGTTTTGTTTTGTTTTGTTGGGGGAGGGGGGGTTGGAGATGTTTTACTATAGGGTACATGTGCTTGCCAGAAAGACAGAAAGCGAGAAATCACCCCCTAGGGAGAATGGCTAAATCTCTTCTCCGTTCTCTTCTCGGGACTTTGGGCACGCATGCACATGCGCCTGGTGGTCCTTACGCCACCTGCTGGTCCTTATATTTGGCAAATTTTATTGCTTAGTACACCTCTTCTTAAACGTCTTAATGAAAAATAGAAGTGCTGGGACCAGCAGATGGCAGAATGGTTATGTTGCTGGACTCCTAAGTAGTCTACCACGGTTTGATTCCCGGACCAGTGGCTTAAAACTCAGCCAGGCACGGGCCCAGCAGTTGGTGTAATGGCTATGTCATTGGACTCTCATGTGGTCGACCAGGGTTTGAGTCCCGGGCCCAGTGGCTTAAACTCACACCGAGCATGTATGCATGGGTGCCCAAGATCCCGAGATGAGAATGGAGGAGAAGGGATTGTGGCGTCGCCATCGCCCGACAGAGGGGGGTGATTTCTCGCTTTCTGACTAGTGCCCTATAGCAAAAACCTCTCCAAAGTATGGGGGGGGGGCTCAGCCAGCCAGGTGCATGTGCGTGCATGCCCAAAACCCCAAGAGGAGAATGGAGGAGAAGGGGTTGTGGTGTGGCCATTTACCCTGGGGATTAATTTCTTGGCTTTCTCGCTCTTTGGCAAGCACACGTGCCCTATATCAAAAAATCTCTCTTAAAAAGGAAAAAGAAAAATAGAAGTGCTTCAACATTGTGAATGTGCTAAATGCCACTCAATTGTTCACTTTAAAAGGGAATTTTAGGGCAGGCCCCACTGCCGAGTGGTTGGGGAGCCAGATCTCACAGAGCTAACTGCACAGGTCAAATCCCAGCCCCAGTGGCTTGAAAAACACACCAGGCCTGTGTGCACGCTGCCCACGATCCTGGCAGGTGGGGGAAATGGAGGAGCAGGGATAGCAGGGTGACCGCATCCATCGGGCGGTGACTTCCTCTCCCCTCTCTGTCTCTCTGGTGTGAGCACACTCCTCCTGACAGATTACAACAGAATTTTCTGTTCTGTGAATTTTCCCTCAGTTTCTCTAAAGCAAGCAAGTGCTTCACGGTTCTCACAATTAAGTTAGTCTTTTCTGTTTTATTAGAATTCTCACGCGTAGAGAAGTGAGCCTGTTGTCTGACTCTGGAGCCCGAGCAGAGAGGCTTTTTTAGTTCATTCACAGTACCAGTCTTTCTCAGATGTGCTTTTGCTTTGATTTCCCAAGGGAATGGGTCTTGTAAACCACGTCTTCACCGAAGACAATTTGAAGAAATTATATGTTTCCAATCTTGGAATTGGACATACGAGGTACGCCACTACTGGAAACTGTGAATTAGAAAATTGTCAGCCCTTTGTCGTCGAAACACTTCACGGGAAAATCGCTGTGGCACACAATGGCGAATTGGTAAATGCTGCTCGGCTAAGGAAAAAGGTACTGTTTTTAAGGATGTATTTTTCATTTCGGGGACCAACGAATGGAAGTTGAGGATGTGGGTAGAGGGCATTTTCTAACTGTTAGTACCTGAAACTGCAGTGCCACGAACAGTTGCATCCGAATCACCTGGAGTGCGTGTTCTACCCTGGAGCTGGCAGTGGGTCGAGATCCTCATTTCATTTCATATGCTCCCAGGGTGATTTGCGTGCACTGCTTTAGAGTGGAGATTTGAGAGGCCAGCAGGTGATGTGGTCGTTAAGACACTGGGCTCCCACATGGCTAACCGCAGGTCAAGTCCTGGATCTAGCAGCTTGCTTTCTCACTTTCCCTCTCTCTGTCTCTTTCTGGTGAGTGCATGTGCCCTATAGCAAATTTAAAAAATAGTAATCATGATGGGGCTGGTAGGTGGCATGGCGGTTAAGATGCTGGACTCCCCCAGGGCTGACCATGGTTCGAGTCCTGGACCTAGAGACTTGCTTTTTCACTTTCCTTTCTCTCTCTCTCTGTCAAATTAAAATTAAAAAAATAATAATGATATTAAATAAATATTTTTAAAAATGACAATGACAAATCAAGTTAAGTAAATCATTTTAATTAATGGGAGGTGGCATGGTGGTTAATGGTGCTGGATTCCCACATGGCCAGCCGTGGTTTGAGTCCCAACCTGGCGACTTGCTTTCTTGCTTTCCCTTTCTCTCTATCTCTATCTCTGTCTAGTCAAATTAAAGAACTAATAATTAAAAAATTGAATTAAACAAATAAATATTTTTTAAAAAATAGAGGGGTAATTTGAAATGGTTAAATATTGGTAGTTTTTTTTTTAATTTCATTTAATTTTATTTATTTATCTATTTATTTAAATTTGACCAGAGAGGGACAGAGCAAGAGAGAGAGAGTGAGAAAGCAAGCCGCCAGGTCCAGGACTCAAATTGCAGTCGACCATGTAGGAATCCAGTGCCTTTAACCACCACGCCACCTGCTGGCTCCAGATGGTAGCTTTTAGAAGCTGGACTCTTCTTATCCTTTACACTGTTTCCATGTTCAAAGCTTATAAGAGATAGGAGAAAAAACTAATTTCTTTTTCCACTTTTAAACTCAGCACAGTTCTGTGCCTGAGGGAGGGAGTTTCTCACACCAGCTAGTTGTAGACAGCAACTGGATATTTTGTAATTCATTCACTTCTGGACACTACTGAGGTTTGAAGTCAGAGCCCACAGAGTCAGAGCTCCGTCCTCCCAAACCATCGCCTATTCAGATGCCAGCTGCAAGCCCAGGTCTCTAGTACTTCTGACCCACGATTAAAGTAGGAATTCCTTGTTGGTTTTGATCATTTGCTAGAGCTCCCAGAATTCAGGAGAGTACTTTCCGAATTTTCCAGCTTGCCATAAAGGATATTACAGAGGAGACAGGAGAGCAGATAAAGAGATGGTGGGGGAAAGATCCGGGAAGGGGCACGGAGCTGCCAGGCCCTCTCCCAGGACAGCTTTCTCCAGGCACCTTCAAGTGTTCTCCTGAACAGAACCCAGTCTGTCCGGGGCTTTATTAAGTAGCCTTCATTAATGAGGCTTCATTAAGTAGGCATGTGTGATTAAATCATTGCCCATTGGCTGCCAGGTTCACCTTTAGCCACCCCCCTTAAGAGGTGTGCTTGTGGGAGAGGCTGAAGGACCCAGCCCTCTAATCAGAGATTGGTTCCCCCGACAACCCGGCCCCACCTCGAGGGCCAAAGCTCCTGCTACTACTCATCTCATTAGTGTTCAAAACCAAACAAGATGCTTGTTGTGGTGATTCCAAGTTGGCTTTAGCAGATATAAACCAGAGAAGACCAGGATAAAAGCCATTATGTATATTTCTTCTTATATATCACAGTGTCACAAAAGCATAAGAAGAGATGGTGTGGACTAGCCAATGGTGCAGTGGTTAAGGTGGCAGGATCCCACGTGTCCTGGACCTGGCAGCGTGAGAAACATGCCAGGCATGTGCACTTGTGCCAAAACCCCGAGAGGAGAATGGGGAGAAGCAACTGTGGCATGGCTCTCACCCTGGGGGGTGATTGCTAAGCATCACCCCGCCCCCTGCTAAGCAGACACGCACTATAGCAAATGTAAAAAAAGAAGAAAAGAAAGAAAAAGCTATATAAAACTTGAACCGTAAGAAGAAATGAAGTATGCATTTAAAGATGACAGATAAGAAGCAAAATTAATAGAAAACAAATTTAAGAAACTAAAATAGAGTTCCAGGGGCCAGCAGGAGATGTGGTGGTTAAGGCACTGGACTCCCACATGGCCAATTGTAGTTCGAGTCCTAGACCTGGCAGCTTGCTTTCTCACCGCCCCACCCCCACACACCTTGGTTTCTCTCTGGTGAGTCCATGTGCCCTATAGCAAATTTAAGTTTAAAAATAATAATATTGGTAAGTAAAATTAAACAGTTATTTTTTAAAAATAATAAAATAATGTAGTTTTGGTCTGTGAGAAGAAACAGAACTCACACTTTAATTCATAGCATCTTGGAGCTTTTCTGTGTTAATGGTATTAAATATGTAAATATGTGCCTAAGCTTTTCATCTTTTTTTTTTCTGACTGTGTGGTGTCTTTGTATTTCCTGGTAGCTTCTTTTTTATCTATCCTGACATTCACTAATCCCTGCTGAGTTTCTTCAGTTCGTTAGATTACAGTGATCTTGACTGGTCAGTTCTGAACCAGGCAGTGTTCAGTACCAGGACGGTCACACCTGCGGGTTACCCTCCCAGCATTCTAGAGCCGGGCGTTTCACACGTGACGCACAGTTACAGAGGCCGGGTCTTGAACTGGTGGGTCAGAAATATCTAGGATCCGGGGTCCAGCAGGTAGCATACTGGTTAAGATGCTGGATTCCCACATGGCCAACCATGTTTCAAGTCCCAGACTCAGTGACTTGAAAATCACTCCAGGCACATGTGCATGTGTACCCAAAATCTCAGGAGGAGAATGGAGAAGAAGGGATGGTAACATGGCCATCCCCCTTGGGGGTAATTTCTCATTTTTCTTCTGTCTCTCTTCAGTGAGTATATGCGCCCTATGGTAAAAACCTAAAAAAGAAAAAGAAAGCAAGCAATATCTAAATTGCAGACTTCTGTATCACTCATTGTTCTATTTTTAATGCTAGTTTGGGGCATTTTCTAGAGCTTTGTCCTGCCTCCTTCCTAGGCCATAGCTTTATACTGGTGATAATGTGCTTTTCTATTCCCAAATGAAAAACTACATAGCTTATTTTGAAATTCAGGCTGTCGTGCCAGCCCACAGTATGGTAGTTAGGGAGGCTGGATTCTACATGGTTGACTATGCACTTTGAATCCTGGACCTGGTGCCTTAAAGCGTGCCAGGTGCATGTGTGCGTGCCCAGAATCCCGAAAGGAGGAGGGAATGGAGAAGGGACTGTAACATGACCATCCCCCACCGGAAGTGCTTTCTCACTTTCCTTCTCTCTCTCTCTCTGTCTTGAGCGAACGCACATGCCCTTGAGCCAAAGTTTAAAAAAAAAAATCAGAAAATCACAAAAGTATATATATGTAGTAAAAATGAAACCATGAGCACTCAGAGATAACCACCAAAAGTTCAGTTCCAGACAATATCCGGCTCATAGTTTTCAGACAGAGCCTCTTACCTGCATGCTGGACTCCATCTCTGCCCGTTTAGCTGCCAGTGGAGAATGTTCAGTAGCGTCTATTTAAACTCGGTCTCCGCATGTGCGTGCTGCCACCCTGTCCTGGTCAGACCTGCTCAGAACTTCGTAGTCTTGGTTAGTACTCCGCCAGTACGTATACCGTCTTCTACGTTAGCTGTTCAATACAGTTCCGCCTTTCTCCCATCAGCGATAAGGAGTACGGTACCCACCATCACCACCACCCCCAAGCTAGCCTGAGAGCTACCGCTGTAGTCACCACTCTTAGGGACTGTGTCCTTTTTGTCAAAGAGCATTGAGGGTAGAAAAAGTTAGCCTCTCAATCCAAATTCTAATCGCCCCCCCCACGCACTGCACATCTACACGCCTTCAGACTTAGTCTTCAAAAGCTGTTCTAGGGGACCAGCAGGTGGCATAGTGGCTAAGGCACTGGACACTCCCAAATGGTCGACCACAGTTTGAGTCCCAGGCCTGGTGGTTTGCTTTCTCACTTTCCTTCTCTCTCTCTGTCTGTGTATGTCTCTCTCTGGTTAAATTAAAATAAACGAATGAATAAATTTAAAAATTAAATTTAAAAAATAATTCTTTTTTTTAAAAAAAATGCTGTTCTATACAAAATCATGCCAGGCGTGTGTGTGTGTGTGTCCAAAATTCTAAGAGGAGAATGGAGGAGAAGGGATTGCAGCATGGCCATGGGTTGCAGGAGTGGGTGATTTCTTACTTTCCCCGTCTCTGTCCCTCTCTGGTGAGTGCACGCGCCCTGTGGAAAAAACAAACAAACAAGCTGTTCTATACATACATAGACATGTGTCTCCTAAGGCACTTTCTTCCTCGTTTTAAAATCTTCCCAGAGATTTCCGATTGCCTCCAGCGGCCGTCCTGTTATCAGGATACACATCGCGGGTGGGTTCGGGTAGGGCGGATTTTCATGACCAAGCATCTGCACAAGGCCTGATTTCTTCCTGTTACGGTGGCCGCTGTGTGAGGGAGGGTGGCACCTTCCCTCTAATGACCGACTCGTGTCCATCCCGTGTAGCTCCTGCGACATGGCATTGGTCTGTCCACAAGCTCTGACAGCGAGATGATCACCCAGTTACTGGCGTACACCCCTCCTCAGGAGCAAGATGACATCCCAGACTGGGTAGCGAGGTAACTGTAAAAGCGGACTAGACCGGCCCTGTTCATTAGAGCTTGGCCTGGCATCTGTTTATAACCAAAGTAATCCACTGCATTATTTCATTCCAGGATTAAAAACTTAATGAAGGAAGCACCCACGGCGTACTCCCTGCTCATAATGCACAGAGATGTCATTTACGCAGTAAGAGACCCTTACGGAAACCGTCCTCTGTGCATCGGGCGGCTGATCCCAGTGTCTGATATCAACGACAGAGGTAAGGAGCTGCGGGAGTGTCACTGCGTAATGCTCCTCAGTCGTTGCCCGATTTCTGATGCGCCCTGACAGGAAGTTTATGGGTGAGAAGAGGTTAGGTTTAAAAAAAAAAAAGATGTCCTTAGTGGTTTTTTTTTTTTTTTGCTATAGGGCGCATGCGCTTGCCAGACAGAGAGACAGAGAGCAAGAAATCCCGCGCAGGGGGGATGGCCATGCCGCAATCCCTTCTCCATTCTCCTCTTGGGATCTTGGGCATGCACGCACATGTGCTTGGCATGAGTTTTAAGCCACTGGGTCCAGGACGCGAACCGTGGTTGACTACATGGGAGTCCAGCGACATAGCCATTACACTAACTGCTGGTCCCAAGGTGTCCTTAGTTTTTAAAGTACATTTTTTGGGGACATCTGAGAATGAGTTACTTTACTTTACTTTATTTATGTATTTATTTATGGTTTTGCCATAGAGTGTTTGGACCCACGGGAGAGAGAGAGAGAAGGAAAGTGAGAAATCATCCTCCCAGGATGATAGCCATACTGCATTCCTTTTTCCATTCTCCTCCTGGGATCCTGGGCATCCTGTTTGAGTTTTAAGACACCGGACCCAGGACTTGAACTGCTGTCAGTCATGTTGGAGTCCAATGTCTTAACCACCACACCACCTGCTGGCCCCAGATGAGTTACATTTAATGTATGTAATGGACATTCTTATTTTTTGTCTGAATTGCCTATTCATATCTTTTGCCCAGCTTTTTAATTTATGTGGTATGGTTCTTAGGATTTTTTTTTAATTGATTTTTTTTAATGGCTAGAGAAATGGGGAGACAGGGAGAGCATCCCCTGAGGGAGTGTGGTCCCACCACAATCCCCTTCCCACTTCTCCTTCCCATCAGGATTCTGGCATGTAACATGTGCCCGTGTATCTTTTCAAGCTTCCATAGCCAGGATTCAAACAATCCCCGAGTGGGATTTGGCTACCTGCGTACAGCCCTTACCCCTGTGCTATAGTGCTGGCCCTGTGGTGTTTTTTCTGATTTATTAAATGTCTTATCAAACTGTGAAATCATACTGTTAAAAGGATTGCTGGATGGTCATTCATCTTTGGTTCAAGTCAAATGAGGGTGAATGTGTTCTTTAAGTTACAGAAATGGCTATTTTATGAGGTCGTTGCTTTTTAAAAAATTATTTGGTGTTTATTGTGTTACTGTCTAGCCTGTTTCAAAATTTCTCAAATCCATTCACTGAATTTTCTTATATTTTACAGAGAAAAAATCATCAGAAACAGAAGGATGGGTTGTGTCTTCAGAATCTTGTAGCTTTTTATCTATTGGTGCAAGGTACAGCTTACCTCATTCAGCATATTATCTTTTTCCACATTGATTAAAAAAATTTTCTCTTGCTATTTACGTGAAAATTTTCATCCTGATATTTACAACTACGCATTTATACTATAAACACATTTCTTTCTTCCTTCCTTCCCTTCTTTTTTTTTTTTTTAATTTTCCTTATTTCTTTCTTTTGTCCATGAACAAGACAAAGAACAGGGTCCCAACACCACGATCCTGTCCCTGGGTCAGCTTCCCTGGATCATGTACACAGGCATGTCCAGGGAGGCCTTTGGACCCCGGGTAGGTCACCCTCACAGTGCTGTTACTGTGCACTGCCGTGCAGTCTCGTCAACACACTTTCTTACATATATTGTGCTCAATGGTTGGGCACACTTTTTTTGTATATAACATCTATCTATCTATCTATCTACCTACCTACCTGTTGTGATTTTCAAGCCACCAGGTCCTTGATCAGCCATGTGGGACTCTAACCCCTTAACCACCACACCACCTGCTAACCCCAGTTATGCTGACTTTCATGTTCTAGTAATACATTGTAATTCTTTTTCTTTTTTTTTTTTTTTTTTAGAGGCTTTTGCTGTAGGGCACTTGCACTCGCCAGAAACACAGAGAGACAGAAAGCGAGAAATCACCCCCCAGGGGTATGGCCACGCTGCAATCCCTTCTCCTCCATTCTCCTCTTGGGATCTTGGGCATGCACGCACACACGCCCAGCGTGAGTTTAAGCCACCGGGTCCGGGACTCGAACTGCGGTCGACTACATGGGAATTCAGCAACATAGCCATTACACTAACTGCTGGTCCCAATAACACATTGTAATTCTGACACTGGTGTTTTTCTTTTAAAATATCTCAAGATTTGTTTTAGAAACAAAGAGCTTCCTCTACAAGGAATAGCTATAATAGAGAAACTTAAGCCAGGATAAAATTGTTCTCCTTAGAGAACAAAATTATTCTGTCACAAACTAATAAAATAGCGCAGGTGGTGTGGTGGTTAAGTGGGCTGGATTCACACATGGCCGACTGCAGTTTGAGTCCTGGACCTGGCAGCTAGCTTTCTCACTTTCCCTCTCTCTCTCTCTCTCTCTGTCCCTCTCTGGTCAAAGTAAAATAAAGTTAAATAAAATAATTCTTATATAAAAAAAAAAAACTAATAGAATGTAGGGCACCGATTTTTCAGATTGTAAATTAGAGCTTAAAGGTAGCAGATTTACAAAAATTACTGCTGGAGGCATATTACTTTCTGTGTTGTTTATTTTAAGGCATCTCTAGACTTAATAGTATACGAATTTGATTTTTTTCTCCATATGAGAGAAGACTTTTTGTGTACTTGATAATTGCTGTTACCATCAGCCTTAGGATATGGTTTACTTACAGGCTATTTTTCTTTTTTTTTTTTTAACATTGTTTCTCAAGATATTACCGTGAAGTGTTGCCTGGAGAAATTGTGGAAATATCCAGGCATAATGTACGAACCCTTGATACAATATCAAGGTCCGAAGGAAACCCAATGGCTTTTTGTATCTTTGAATATGTTTATTTTGCAAGACCGGATAGTATGTTTGAAGGTAAGTAAATTTATTTTCTTTTATTATTCCTATGCATCTCTCTTTTCTTCCCTTATTTTTTTGGTGAGGGTTTGCTATAGGGTGGGAACACTTGTTGGGGAGGGAGGGAGGGAGGAGATCGCACTCCCAGGAGGGATGGTCACACCCCATCCCTTCTTCTCCATTCTTTTCTCAGTATTTCTGGCCTGCACGCACACATGCCTGGCATGTCTTTTTCAAGCCACCAGGGCCAGGTATCAAACCATGCAGTTGGCCTGTGGGATCCAGGTGCTTTAACCACCATGCTACTGGCTGGCCCTAGATTTTCTCAGTGAAGCATGGTAGCTCTTGACCTAAAGGCATACCTGGTTCTTTGAAGGCCAGGAAGAGTAGAGCTTCCCTCTTGTGGTTAAATCTATTTACATATTGTGGATATAGGACCAAGCCCCCACAGGTCATAAGGTCACTATTACTCCCTTCCTTTCGACTCTCGCATATTGGTTTTCTTTTTAAGAGTAAGGACTATGTTTTTTAACGATTATGATTTAAAGATCTGTATTAAGATAAAAATAAACTAGAGGGAACCAGCAGTTAGCATAATGGCTATGTTGCTGGACTCCCACGTAGTCGACCGCGGTTCGCATCCTGGACCCCGTGGCTTAAAACCCACGCTGGGCACGTTTGCGTACGTGCCCAAGGTCCCTAGAGGAGAATGGAGGAGAAGGAATTGCGGCGTGACCATCCCCCCTGGGGGGTGATTTCTCGCTTTCTGTCTCTATGTCTCTCTCTGTCTGGCGAGCGCACGCGCCCTATAGCGAAAAAACCCTCTCAAAAAAAAAAAAAAGAAAAAGAAAAGAAAAGAAACTAGAGAGGCCAGCAGGTGGCATAGAAGTTATGTTGGTTGGACTTTTGGGACCAACAGTTGGTGTAATGGTTACATCGTTATAACCATTAGTTGACCATGGTTCAAGTCCCAGACCTGGTAGCTTAAAAATTCACACTGAGGGCATGTGCTTGTGTGCCCAAAATCCCAAGAGGAGACTGAAAAAGAGATTGTGACGTGGTCAACCCCCTTCTCACTTTCTGTCTTACTGTTTCTGTTTGGTGAGCACATGCACCCTATAACAAAAACCTCTTTAAAAAAAAAAAAAAGATGGATTTCCCCATGGCCAACTATAGTAAAGTCTCAGACTTGGAGGCTTAAAAATCACCGTGGGCTCGTGTGTGCGCGTCCCCAAAATCCTGAGACTGGAGGAAGAGGGACTGCAATGTGGTCATCCCCCTTGGGGGTGAGTTCTCACTTTCCCTCTCTCTGTCAAGCACACATGCCCTGTGGCAAAAACATTAAATATAAATAAAGTATGATTCCCCAGTTTGTACATCTCCACTGTAGTTACTTTGATTTTCTTTGTATAGTCAATGTGTAGCATTTTAGCACTGATTTTGTAGAATAGCAGTTATATTATGCTCAGTGAAAGTAATCAATTTTCTTTGCCACCACACAGACCAGATGGTTTACACGGTAAGGTACCGGTGTGGCCAGCAGCTGGCCCTCGAAGCACCTGTGGACGCCGATTTGGTCAGCACCGTCCCTGAGTCTGCCACCCCTGCTGCTCTTGGCTACGCCACAAAGGTATTTACCCTTTTCTTAAATTTATTTTTTTGGGGGAAGAGGTTTTTCCTTTAGGGCACGTGCGCCCGCCGGAAAAAGAGAGACAGAAAGAAAGCGAGAAATCGCCCTCCACGGGGGATGGCCATGCCACAGTCCCTTCTCCTCCATTCTCCTCTCGGGATCTTGGGCACACACGCACTCGTGCCTGGCGTGAGTTTAAGGCACCACGTCCAGAACTCGAACCGTGGTTGGATACGTGGGAGTTCAGCGACATAGCCATTACACTAACTGCTGGTCCCAAGGTATTTACTCTTAATCAACATTCAGTTCATTGCACTCCCAGCAGTGGAGTCAAAAATATGCCTATAAAAGTTTACCACCTTATCATAGGAGCAAGGCAAGTTTAAGGGTTCCTGTTGGTTCTTTTACAAGTTCTTTATTTTCTAGCTTTTTCATTCGGTGGTACCAGTTTAGTGAAAGGTTCACCCAAACACTTGGATTAGGGTGCTGGTCCCTTCTTTTTAAAAAGGTAACATCGTGAATATATATAGAACTTACTGGTAATGTTTAGAAGCATATTGTTAAAATACACTTCTGAAAGTACCCTGGTAAGCCACTGGTATATTTGTCCCCAGCAACTCTGGGTAATAAATACATCTGTTGATCTTTATTTGGTGTAATGTTACTAGTACCTTGTTTGACTTCACTTTTCATAACTGGGTAGATTATGTAACCATCAGTTACCGCAGTGATCCTGAGTTTTAACAGCCAGTATTCACTATCTTGGATATTTAATTTATTCAGTTCTGAAGGAAATAATAAGCATGTGTTTTAGAGGGTGTTACCTTGAAAAAATGGGTGATTTACCTCCTATCCCTAAGAATACAACTCCTTAGCCTGCTGGTTTTAATTCTTTTCTTTTGCTGGGCTCGTGCGCTCACTGGAAACAGAGAAAGTGAGAGTGACCAGCAGATGGCGTAATGGTTGTGTCCCTGGGCTCCCATGGAGTTGACTGCAGTTTTAATTTTGGAGTTGGAGACTTAAAATTCACACTAGGCGCATATGAGTACATGCCCAAGATCCTACGAAGATAAAGGAGAAAGGATTGTAACAGGGCCATCCCCCTCAGGGGGTGATTTCTCACTTTCTGTCTCTTTCTTTCTGGTGAGCACACACGCCCTATAATAAAAAAATCCCTTGGGGAAAAAAAAAAAGAGAGTGAGAAAGTAAGAAAGGGTGGATGGCCACATTGCAGTTCCCTCTCTCCATTCTATCCTTGGGATTTTTTTTTTTTTTTTGAAGAGTTTTTTTGCTATAGGATGTGCAATTGCCAGAAAGACAGAGAGAGACAGAGACAGAAAGTGAGAAATCGCCTCCGAGGGGGGATGGCAACGCCTCAATCCCTTCTCCTCCATTCTCCTCTTGGGATCTTGGGCACACACACACACACACATGCCCAGTGTGAGTTTTAAGCCACCGGGTCCGGGACGTGAACCGTGGTCAACTACATGGGAGTCCAGAGACATACATAGCCATTATGCTAACTGCTGGTCCCTATCCTTGGGATTTTCAAGAGTGTTTTTCAAGCTGCTGGGTCCAGGACTTGAAACGTGCAGTCAACCTTGTGGGATCTACTCACTTTAACCATATGCCACCTGCCAGCTCAGCCCATTGGTTTTTAAAATGTTTTGCCATGGGGACTATGCTTTCACCAAAGAGACAGAGACAGTGAGAGGAAGAGTGAGGAATCAACCCCCCGGGAATGGCCACATCGCAATTCCTTCTCCTCCATGGTCTTCCTGGGATCTGGGTCACACATGCACATGTACCCAATGTGATTTTCAAGCTGCTGGGTCTGGGACTCAAACTGTGCTCAGCCCTGTGGGAGTCCAGTGACATAACCACTACATCATCTGCTAGCTCCAAACCCATTTTTTTTTTTTTTTTAGTATGTGAATTTTTGTGATCATAATTTATTCTTTGCTCTTTCTTTACGAAGAGAAACCTTACACGTTCTAACAAAATGAGTTGATTTTTATCACCAAATAAATGACTTCCAGTGGTTTCTCTTTTTGCATCCCCCCACCCCAGTTTAAATGGTGAAAAGAAAATTACAACAGTGGAGAGTTCTGTAACAGCCACATGTTGAGGTTTTACATACATATTATAATGGTGGCATAATCTAGAAAAAACAGGTGCCACGAGCATGGTGTACGTTGTTGCTGAGTGTCCTCTTGTTTCTCTGTCAGTGTGGGCTTCCATATGTGGAGGTGCTGTGTAAGAACCGATACGTAGGAAGAACCTTCATTCAGCCAAACATGAGATTAAGGCAACTTGGTGTTGCCAAAAAGTTTGGAGTATTGTCGGACAACTTTACAGGCAAAAGAATTGTTCTTATAGATGATTCAATAGTGAGAGGGAATACCATCTCACCCATCATCAAATTGCTTAAAGAATCTGGGGCAAAAGAGGTAAGTAATATTAAAACATATCAAAGCACCAATAATTAACGATTAGATACTGGCATAAAAATTAAAATTCAGTACAATGAATCGAAATACAATAAATATTTTTCAATCTGTTGTATGAGAAAGAGGGATAAAAAGCAGTATAGTAGTCCATTTAGGAAACTTCAAAGATAATGTGTGATTATGATTTTTAACCTTTTCTATAATATTTTCATAGTCTTAGTATTTGGAATTTTGTGAAACTTACATAGTAGCAACAAAGGTATAACATAAATTTAGCATCTCCCGTGACAATAAAAAAGAATAGGCAAAAACAAAGACCCTGGAAATGGCTTAAATATCTACCTGTAAGAGAATAATTTAATAGCTGTATCAACGTGACGAAATATAAACCAGCCATTAATAACTATAATTGTGAAGACTGCATCACATGGGAAAATCTTTGTAATTATAAGAAAGCTTGAAAAGTAAATGTGGGCACTGATTCTAGCCATGCAGATGTACCTGAGAAAAGGCAGATGATGATAACAGACAAAAAGAACTTGATCAGGGTGGTAAGTTTTAGTTCTAACCTGGTAGACCTTATTTTTCTTTGTAAGACGGTAGAATAAGAGGTAGGCAGGAGTACCATGCATGTGTTACAGGAGAAAACAGAAGTGGCTCTAGGACGCTAGAGCCATTAAATGAGAAGTAAGAGATCTAAAGAAGGAAGACGGTTCATTAATAGGTGACAACAGCAAATATCAGGCAACTCTATACAAAGAGCCCTTCACAAGCGACTGACCTTTTGTCAATCTTATCCATGACATTTGGCTGTCTGGAGGAGGGCCACCCAAGTCTTCGGCTGTGAATTCATTTTTCAAGTCGTTCAGAATGAACACAGCCGATCCGTGTGAACTACCTGATTTTCTAGGATCCTTTTTATCTATTACTGAAATTCTGTCATTTGCTTTATTACCCGTACATTGTTACCAAATACTCTGTAAGACAGTTTTGTGTTGGATTTGATCAATGAAAGGTAATTCTTCATATTCTTACACGGTATGAAATGATTTCTTTCCAAGGTGCACATCCGAGTAGCTTCACCACCAATTAGATATCCATGCTTCATGGGAATAAACATTCCCACCAAGGAAGAATTGATTGCCAATAAACCAGAATTTGATCGCCTTGCAGAGTATCTAGGTAGGTAGTAAAATGTCTGTAAAGTTTAATTTAGGCTAGCCCTAAAATTAAATTAAATTTCCTGATAGTTAAGGAAGCCAGATTCCATGTGGCCAACTGGACTGTGTGAATCCTAGCCCCGGAGGCTTGAAAAACATGGTGGGTATATGTGTATCCATGCTTAGATCCCGAAGGATGGGGAAATGGAGAAAAGATTGCAGTGTGATTGTGCCCCATTGGGGTGTACTTTCACCCTCTTTCTCCCTCTGTCTGTCTGTCTCTGGCAAGCACATGCATCAACACAAAAATAAACAACAAAAAAAGTTTTTCTCTTTTATAGTTTATTAACAGAAACCCAAAGTTTATTCGTCTTTGTAGTCTTAAAAAGTTGTGTTCAGTGCTTGTGGAAGTAGCTATCATGCATGTTAAGTAGATAATAGAACACTCTTCTGAGCAGTGAGAGTGGTGGACAGGCACAGTAGTTACCACAGGTGCTATGTTCGAGAGCTCGACCAAGTGAGATTAGAAAAGGAAGAAAGGGGCTAGCAGGTGACATAGTGGTTAAGGTGCTAGACTCCCACGTGGCTAACTGCAGTTTGAGTCCCGGACCCAGCAACTTGAAAATCACAGCAGCATGCCCCAAATCCCAGGAGAATGGAGAAGGGATTGTGGTGTGGTCATTCTCCCGGGGGTGGGGTGAGGTGATTTCTCACTTTCTGTCTCTGTCTCTCCAGTAAGCACACTCTCCCTATGGCAAAAATCACCCCCTCCCCCCCCAACAAAAAGGAAGAAAGGATTTCCAGGTAGAACTGTAAACATATCAGTTAAAGCCTCCTAAAGGTTGTATCCCAAGGAAAAAAGCAATCATTTTTATTTATTTATTTAAAGAGGTTTTTGCCTTAGGACACGTGTGCTTGCTAGGAGAGTGAGTGAGAGACAAAGACAGTGAGAGGGAAAATGAGAACCCCCACCTCCCACTGTGGAGATGGCCACACCACAGTCCCTCCTCTACTCTCCTCCTGGGATCTTGAGATGCATGCACATGCACCTGGCACGAGTTTTAAACCACCAGGTCTGGGACTTGAACCATGGTCATACATGTGGGAGCCCAGCGACGTAACTGCTATGCCATCTGCTGGTCCTGAACAAAGAAATCTTATCCACAGATTCTAATAACTTTGATGTGGATACAAAGCAAAAAGTAAAAGCCTTATGTAGACAAATTTTTAATAAGATACTTGGAGAGCTAGGTTATCTTGGAAAAGATGTCTTACTTATCAAAACTATTTAAACATCACAGGAGGGGCCACCAGGTGGCGCTGGGCCCCCACATGGCTGACTGTGGTTAGAGGTCCAGACCTGGTGACTTGCTTTCTCATTTTCTCTCTCTTTCTCTGGTGAATACACATGCCCTAAACCAAATAATAATAAATTAAATAATTATTTTAATTTACATTCAACCATTGTGCCTCAAGGATCTCCACATTGGCCATTCATGGTTGGCATTTTTGTCTGGTTATGCCCGTGCCTTACCAGTTAATAAGTATTTTGAATACCACCCTGCTGGACTCCTTTTTTTTTTTTTTTTTTTGAAGAGAGGTTTTTGCTATAGGGTGTGTGCGCTTGCCAGAAAGACACAGAGAGAGAGAGATTAGAAAGTGAGAAATCACCCCCTAGGAGTGTGGCCACACTGCAACCTCTCCTCCTCCATTCTCCTCTCAGGATTTTGGGCATGTATGCACACGTGACCAATGTGAGTTTAAGCTGTCGGGTCCAGAACTCGAACTGTGATACTATTATGTGGGAGTCCAATGATGTAACCATTACACCATCTGCTGGTCCCAAGCAACTGGATATCTTACTATAAACACTCTTTGCCAGGATGCTGCATAGATTATTAGTTATGCATTATCTATATTATAATAACATCACAAAAACACTACAATGAGGCACTGTTTCCCTCATCTTATAGATTGAAAAGACAGATTTAAAAAGTGTGACCTTAAGCTTACATTTGAGCCCAGATGTTCCTGACTTCAAAATCTATTTTCTTAATTCTGTTATCCCATACATTTCAGAATATAAAAACAAAAGGTCTGAGTTGTATTTATTTCGTTCTTAGTTTAATGAAAGCTAAAGGAGAGATGTTAATCCTGGCTTGAAGTATTCTGTTTGTAATCTCTGCTGGAGTAGCCCCTCCTTTTTAAAGAACTTCTCGTTATCTTTTTTTCCTTCCTTCCTCTACAGGAGCCAACAGTGTTGTGTATCTGTCAGTTGAAGGACTGGTTTCCTCTGTACAAGTGACAAAATTGAAAAAACAGAAAATGGAAAACCATGATATTATTCAACAAAACGGAAATGGCCTGAGAAGCTTTGAAAAGAATGGTCATTGTACAGCCTGCCTTACCGGAGAGTACCCTGTGGAACTGGAATGGTAGCTGTGGGGCAGATGTGATGTATGGAGATTTTAAGTTGGTCAAGAAGTTATAGTGGTTACACTGTATCTAGTTACTGCTACTCAGTTGGTACAATATCAAATGCCACATGCTTACGTTTACCTTTATTATGAATTTTGAGATTCTTTTACTGAAAAGGGTACCAAAGTGCTATAATTGAACCTTGTGTATTGTGTATAATCCAAAAAGAGGTGGTATTCCTTTTTTATATAAGGATCACCCAGCCTTTTTTACCTAGTCAGAGAAGGCAGGTGGTAAGTGGCATTTGCCAAGTGTGCTTTAAAGGGTTTGCAAGAAGTTAGACTAAGATAGGAGGTGCCATGTTAACAGGACAGGTGAGACAAATAAAACATTTCTTGTGAAGTTTAAATTCATTATGCCACATAGGTGTGTACCATCTACAGTTCTGGCTGTAGGTAGAACCTTGGCTTCCCTATCTAACCTTAGACTGACCTTGAAAGAATCAGAAACAACACCTGTCTTGTCACCCCTCAGTTTTCCCACTGGAGCAATGGGTTACTTGTACTCGTCAATAAATTAATTGATGTGAATATGAGTTGTTATTTTTACTTTTGGTGGTTAAAGCCAACAATAAACACCTACAAACTTTAAGATGATGCATGATTATTAGCTTTTGAGCAGCTTATGAGTTTGCAGTTGAACTTTCATGATGAGCAAGGAAGACATAGTTTGGCAGCTCTTTGCCATCAGTCTTTGAGATGCCACAGAATGGTTATAAAACTCTGCCTAGAGAAAAAATTTCCCCACATTTGACTAGGAAGCGAGGTCCATAATATTTAGTGCCCTAATAATATTAAGACCAGCAAGGAACCTTGTACCTTTGAAATAAAAAAACTTTTAGATTCTTACAAACCCTTTATCCTTATCATCTGCTTTGTAAAAGGACGTGCTTGATCTCTGGCAAGCATCCATTCCTGTATATTTATACACAGTGAGTGATTGCCGTTAAGTGACCACGTAGAAACACCATAGGGGCCAGTTTCGGTTAAGGATAGGACACAAATACTTTTTGAGAATCAGAAGGTCCATATCCAGGGCCAGCCCTGCAGCCCAGTGGTTAAGGGAGCTGGATCCCACATGGCTGACAGTTAAAACCCCACTGGGTATGTGTTCAAGTGTGCCTCAAATTCCAATGGGATGGAGAAATGGAGGAGAGATTGCAGCATGGCCATTAGGGGTGCTTTCTTTTTCTGTCCCTCTCTAGTGAGTGCATGTGCCCTTGGGCAACGAAAAAAAGATTGTCTATACCTTAGCATCACCTTATAATCACTTTTTCTACGTTTTATTAGGCTCTTACAAATTTAATTTTTTAAAAAAGTTTTTCCTTAGAACATCTAAGATTTAGAAGTTTAAAGTGACTTGCCCTCCAATCGCCATTTATGTAAGATTTTTAAATCCTGTTTGTTTCTGTGTTATGTTACCACAATTTGATGTAAATAGTGTCCAAACCCATTTAGAAACTTAGTATTTACTGGGACCAGCAGTTAGCATAATGGCTATGTCGCTGGACCCCCACGTAGTCGACCGCGGTTCACATCCCGGACCTGGTAGCTTAAAACTCACGCCGGGCGTGTGTGTGTGTGCCCAAGATCCCAAGAGGAGAATGGAGAAGGGATTGCGGCATGGCCATCCCCCCTGGGGGGTGATTTCTCGCTTTCTGTCTGTCTTTCTGGCGAGTGCATGCACCCTATAGCAAAAAACCTCTCCCAAAAAAAAGAAACTTAGTATTTATTAATAACTGAGATTGTTCATCTTCAGTTGATAATAAGTGTTGTGTGTTATATAACGGCAGGCCAAGATAAAATCTTGATAGCTTTAAGCCCACGTGCAGCAGCACGTCAACAACCCTGTGGCGTCGACAACCCTGTGGCAACGACACAGGCACTTTGGTATTTAATAACGCCCTGGGACCATTTCGGTGTGTGAAGCTTCTTGTTTTAAATTTATTCCCCATGTCAAGTGAAGGAGGCTAGACCTGTGAGTCGATTTTGAACTGGGTTCACTTACACGTCATTAAAAAAAAAGAGAAAGACTCAGGGAAAGTACTAAACCAAAATCTCCAATTTGACTTTTGTGTTGTTCATCATTTTTATTGTCCTACTGAGATGCTTTTATAAAGGAAAATAATACTGTGACAGTTTGGCGAGTCCACAAATTTCTTAGCATTTGTCTGTCGTGGCCTTTTATCTCACCAGTTTCTGAAGTCCGGATCGAATTACAAGTTTTTTATTAATGTGGTCTCCAATGCTGTTTGACTGCTTTCAATTTATATGAGTATTGTAAACTGCAGAGAAGATGAAAAATGTGTTTTCACAGGATCTATAGTATGAGCTAAACTAAGCCTTTTTTGTGACTTTTTTGTGATGCCTTGGTGACAAATATACATAACAAGTATCTTTCAATGTGTTTGTGTGTGTGTTTTTTTAAATAGTGACTTTCAGTGCATTGTAGTAAACTAGAAGCCAACACCCAGGCTCTGCACTTGGCACCAGCTAGCTAGATCTTATTTCTCCGATGCAGGCATTTAGTAAATAGGGCATCTCTTAGGGCCCAGGCAGCACGGCCGGCTGAGGAGTAGCAGATACAGCAGTTAGCAGTGCTGCGCTGAGTAAGCACTGGGAAGGGCACATTCTTCAGAAACCCTAGAGGGAACAGAAGGGCGTCTTAGAAAAGGAGGCTTAGGTTCTCTTGGGCACATGCACGCACGCTGGGGAAGTACTTCTCAGAATCAAAATAAAGCAGGTAAATGGATAAGGAAACTATAGCATACCCAGGCAATGAAATATTATTCGGTTCCCAAAAGAAATGTTATCAAGGTGTGAAGTGCCACGATGGAAGTGTGCGTCACTAAGTGAAAGAGGCCATTCTCAAAATGCTGCATGCCATGTGGTTCCAACTCTGACTTTCTGGAAAAGGCAAACCTAGGGAGACCATAAAAAGATAAGTGGTTACCAGGGGTTTGCAGGGTTGGGAGGATGAGCAGGTGGAGCACAGGAGGCTATACCCCATATGAAGCTATGGCAGTAGATACGAGTCACACACTTGTCCAAACCAATCGAAGACACAATGCCAAGAGCGAACTTGAATGTCAGCTGTAACCTTGGGTAACAGTGGCATGTCAGTGTACTTCATCTGTTGTAACAAATGTACCACTCTGATGGAAATACTGTAATGGGAAAGGCTGTGCATTTGTGGGGGCAGCGGGAATGTGGGAAATTTCTGTACCTGCTGCTCAATTTTACTATGAACTTAAAACTGCTCTGAAAAATAAAGTCTATTTTCAATAACAAAGATACCAGGGTCCCACTTCTTAACAAAAAGTCAAATGCTGTGAAGACATTTTTCATATTAAATATTACTTATTTTTAAAAAGGATAATTTTACTTTTATTTAGCATTATTTTTTATTTGACCGGGGGGGGGGGGTGTAGTGAGAAAGCAAGCCACCAGGTCCAGGACTCGAACTGCAGTAGATCATGTGGGACTCTAGCACACCAACCACCATGCTACCTGCTGGCCCCAAGATTAACATTTAAGTCAGCAGACCTCTGAGTAAAGCAGATTGCCCTGCATAATGTAGGTGGGCCTTGTCCTATCAGCGGAAGGCCTGAGAAGCACAGGTTTCCTGAAGGAGTCCTCAACACTGCCAACACAAAGCCTGCCTGCGTTTCCAACCCACAGTGTAGAATCCGATGTCAAGACTGCAGTGTCAATGTCAACTGTTGCCTAAAATTCCAACCTGCCGGTCTACTCTACAGATCCATACTTGTCAGACCTCATAATCATGTGAGCTAACTCCTTAAATTCAACCAATCTCTCTTCACAGATCTTTATATGCTATTGTTTCTCTTTTCTTGGGGCACCTTAAAGCAGTAGGCTCAGTGTGTTGCAAACATTCTGAGTGCTGTCATCTACCCATATTTTTTTTTGAGAAGTTTTTGCTATAGGACACATGCGCTCGCCAGAAAGACACAGAGAGACAGAAAGCGAGAAATCACCCCCCAGGGGGATGGCCAAGCCACAATCCCTTCTCCATTCTCCTCTTGGGATCTTGGGCAAGCACACACATACACCCGGTGTGAGTTTAAGCCACCGGGCCCAGGACTTAAACCGTAGTCGACTACGTGGGAGTCCAGTGACATAACCATTACTCTAACTGCTGGTCATCTACCCATTCTTTCATTGTCAGCTGTCAAAATACCAAGCCTGAATGAACCGAACCATCAATTTCCTGCCATCTGTTCAGTATCTAAGCACTGCTGAGTAAATAACAAAACACACCATTATCCCAATTATGATACAAGAGTATATAAGGGACAGGGAGGGCTAACCTTGAAAAAAGGTTAGGAATTTTTGGTTTTTTGATGGAAAAATGAGTGATACCTGAGAGATGAGTGAGTAATCAGGTGAAGAGGAGCAGTGCAGTAAAAGGTGTATGTACAGGACCAACAGCAGAGCAGTAACAACTGGACCTGCATGGTTCACAGTTCATGTCTCGGGGCCTCTGTACATGCTGGACGCACACACACTCATGACCCAGACTGGCTGAAGCAGGGGTGGGTCACAGTGAAGTTCCCTGTTGAGGGTTCCTACCTCTCTCACAAGAAATAAGCTTTAAAAAAATATAAAATAGTTAAATCGCAGGACTCTCACATAGTTGACTGCTGTTCAAGTCCCAGACCTAGTGGCTCAAAACACACTGGGCGCATTTGCATGCATGCCCCAAATCCAGAGAGGATAATGGAAGAGATGGGACTATGGTATGGCCATCCCCCATACTAAAGTGATTTATCACTTTGTTTCTTTCTGACTGGTGAGTGCATGTGCCCTAGAGCAAAAATCTGTCTCAAAATAAATAATAAAAATTAAAAAGACTTGGAAAGAATGCAGCTGTTAACAGGTGCTATAAGAAGGAGTGGGGGTATGGGAGCAGCAGTTAGCGTAATGGCTATGTTGCTGGACTCCCATGTAGTTGACTGCGGTTTGCGTCCAAGATCCGGTGGCTTAAAACTCACGCCAGGCGCGTGTGCATGTGTGCCCAAGATCCTAAGTGGAGAACGGAGAAGGGATTGCAGCATGGCCATCCCCCCTGGGTGGGTGATCTCTCAGTTTCTGTCTCTCTGTCTCGCAAGCGCCCACCCCCTATAGAAAAAACCTCCCAAAAGGAAAAAAAAAAAAAAAAAAAAGGAGTGGGGTAATGGCTATGTTGCTGGACTCCCATGTAGTTGACTGCAGTTTGAGTCCTGGACCCAGTGGCTTAAACTCACACCAGGCGTGTGTGCGTGTGTGCCCCAAGATCCCAAGAAGAAAATGGAGAAGGGATTGTGGCGTGGCCATCTTCCTGGGGGATGATTGCTTGCTTCCAGTCTCTCTGTCTTTCTGGTGAGCGCATGCACCCTATAGCAAATAGCAAAAACCTCTCCAAAAAAAAAAAAAAACAAAGCATGGGGCCCAGCCAGTAGCATGGTGGTTGGGACACCTGGATCCCACATGGCTGAGACTGGAAGACCACACAGTAAGACCTTGTCTAAATATCACCTATATGCACACCACACACAAAATTTTTAAGCTAATAAAATAGCTTGTTACTGTTTCATTGCAATAGACATAGGATTCCTGGGTCAAAGAAACAGAACTTTCTTACTCATGGTAAAAGCAGCAGCCAGAACCTCATGTTTGCACCAGTGTCCCAGGCCCCCAAAGTCCCAAGGGGGTGATGGGTGATACAGGCAAGCTGAATGAATGAATGGATGAATGCACGTGTGGTGGGTGGACTCCATTACAGGAGAGGCATGCTGGGTTCAGGGGACTCGTTACTTTCATAGTAATAGAAGCAAGCCTGCTCTTCAGGAAGATGCCACTTCAGTTCTGAAACTGATCACCTCAAACAACCCTGAAAACTGACCTGGACAGTCAGGCCCTTACATTCTTGGCACACTCAGCAAGGATTTATAGGAACACACAGGACCTATGACAGAGGGCCTCTCCCAGCAATATACTGGGCTCCTGGGCTTAGAGAATGGGCAAATCCTTCTCAGGGTGTGAGGAAAGGCATCACGGAGGAGGCGCTATGGAAGGGTTTTCTTCAGGCAGGTGTGGGGAGAGAAGGCTCTATTTTAGACTTAGATGTGGCCAAAGCACAGGTGTGGAAACATGGTAAGGACTTGGTGTGTTTCCACAGCTTCCTGTACCATGGCCACAGCAAGAGTTTAGGGTACCGTGGGGTGGAGGAGCAGTGGCTTGCAGTGAGAGTGCAGGCTAGGACAATGAGCTCGTCTGCTTACAGTGCTAGAGAGTGAACGTTGAGATGCAGGCAACGAGGATCACACAGACTTGTTCTCATAGTGCAGACTGCTGTGACAGATGTGGTCTATGATTTAGAATGACCGCTCCAGGTTACTAGCTAATAAAAATGGCAGTAAACATAACTTCCATATTCCCTCCTTAAGACTTGAAAATGATAGCAGGGATTTTAAGGGTTTGGTATAGGGCACACGCACTCACCAGAGAAAGAGACAGAGAAAATGAGATGTCATCCCTCAGTGGGGACGGCTGTGCTGCAATCCCTTCTCCTCTTGAGATTTTGGGCACGCGTGCACACATGTGCCTGGCATGTTTTCTAAGTAGTCAGGGTCTGGACTGAAAGTGCCCAGTTGACCATGTGGGACCAGCTGCCTTACCACCATGTCACTGGGCTAGCCCAGTAGAGGGATCTGTAAAGAGTAATAAACACTCAAGGATAGAGGAAAGGTATAATAGAAATCCTGATCTGGAATAGCTAAATTCTAAACCAGCAGTGAACAAAGCCAAAGGGCAATCCTATTTGTATTACAGAGCTCCCTAAAAAATTTAGAAACTGGCTTCTGGAAGAAAGGGTGTAAAGGGTAATAAAGGATTAGAAGTTAACTGAGGAATGAATTATATACTTCTACTCTGTCCCCACCTCCCCTGGCCTAATTCTGAAGGTTTTTTTGTTCAGAAGATACTGAGACAGAAGGTCTTTGCATTGGAGAAAAACAGGCACCAAAAATGATTATAAGACACACCTCACTCTCGCAGCCCTCCTCTCCCACTTGATTTTCAATAAATTTACTCCACAGGCTCAGAAGTTCCAATCAGCTTTTGTGCTGGGGTAGAGAGAAAGGGGGGAAGTGACAAATCACCCCTCCGAAAGTTTTGACCACACTGCAGTCCCTTTTCCATTCTCCTCTTGGGATTTTGGGCATGCATGCACTCATATCTGGCATGATTTTCAAGCCACCAGGTCCAAAATTTGAACTGTGGTCAGCCATGTGGGAGTCCAGAGCCTTAACCACCGCACCACCTTTTGGCCCTCCAAACAGCTTTTAAATGCCCTCTTTTAAATATGGCTAGATAGCCAAGGACTACTAGATGCCGTAGGAAAGCCTCTAACATGACAGAGAGCCCAAAACCAACAGAGGAGGAAAATACAGGTTGCAGGGACAGGGGAAACTCTTCAAAAGGAAAAAAAAACTGTCTATATCAGATATGAAAAAATCATATTGCAATAGTAAAACATCATTTTGGCAGCAATTCTGAGTCAGCTAGAGTCCTGTAAGCCTGGAAAGGCTTTAAGTAAAAGCTGACCTAAATTAAGGTAGTGGTAGTGGTGAAAATGCAGATTCTAGGCCCCTCACCAGGAAGCTACTTAGAACTCTGGGGACAGGGTCTGGGAATCTGGAATCTATCTTTTCAAACATCACTGTGAGCCATTGTGACGTGGCTAGGTGGGCTGGCCGAGAGGTTGCAGACTGGGGGAGATAAAGTCTAATTGGATAAGAGAGGGTGAGGGAGAAGAAGCTGACTTTCTGCTACCTGGGTGGACGATGGTGTCATTCCCAAACAGCAACAAAGGCAAAATCAATGTTAGAGACCTCCTAACCAAAAAAAAGTCGCTTTAGTTTGAGTGGCCTGTGGTACACCTGGTGGAAAAGTATGTTGGAAGAGTAGTGATATTTCTTGCTACTTTCGTCATCAGTAACTAAAAAATCAAGAGTATCCTATGCTTTTCACGTATTGTTAATTAATGCTACTTGTCCTCTCAGCTCCTTTGCCAAACTATTTATATTTATTTATTTGAGAGGTTTTTGCTATAGGGCAGGTGCACTTGCCAGAAAGAGACAGAAAACAAGAAATCACCCCCCCGGGGATGGTCACGCTGCAATCCCTTCTCCATTCTCTCTTGGGATCTTGGGCACACACGCACACGCACCCTGTCAAAAATTAATTAAAAAAAAAAAAACTCTGATCATTTCCTCTGCTACTGCCCAGTAATGTCTTTTTTAAAACCCCACTGGGGACCAGCAGATGGTATAATGGTTACATTGCTGGACTCCCATGTGGTTGACTGCAGTTCAAGTCCCAGATCCAGTGGCTTAAAACTCAGGAAGGGCACGTGTGCGTGCGTGCCCAAAACCCCCAAGAAGAATGGAGAAGGGCCTGCGGTGTGGCCATCCCCTCCCTGCCCCCCGTCTCGTGCACAGGTCTATTATCAAAAACCTTTCTCTCTCTCTAAAAACAATTTAAAAAATAATAAAACCCCCACTATTAATTGCCCTTGACACTTACTGTAATAATGTACATGACTCCAACTATAACAATTCCCTTCGAAGCAGAGACTTCTACTCAGGCGTGTAGCTTTAGTAACTCCACCTCAGACCAATTTTTTTAAAAAACAGGTCCTATTAAAAGCTGCACTTTCTTTAACTATCGTTTCAATCTCCTCCATAAGCACGTCAACTTCATTACGACAGGGACTTCGTTCGTAGTTCACCGCTGCAGTCACCTCCGCCGTCTGGGGCGGGTTTCCAGGAACGTTCCAGCCGGCGGAGGCCAATCTCTTATTTCCTGGTGATTTCATCTTTCTTCACATCACCACGGGGCGACATTTTTCTTCACACGCTAGGTAGGATTCAGGAGTCTGCGGTTCAAGATGCAAGATTCTTGGCCAGTTTCCTGACAAGTATAAATAGATACGACTCCAAGTTGGTCCGCTCCAACATCCTTGTGAACCCCGGCTCAAACGATAGGAAGCTACCGGCCGAGAGCCACCAGTTGAACCACACAGACCGCTTCCCAGGATGGCCGCGCAGACTCAGAGCGCGCGGCGCTACCCGCCGGAGTCGCTCACGCTGACGTCACGCGGCGACGCGGAAGGTTTACGTCAGGGGTCGTGCTGCAGGGGAGCTTTACGACTTCTTGATGGCTACTTCTTCGCTGTCAGCTACAGGCTATCTGGGAGAGGTGTAGATGGGGTCGGACCTCCCCGGCGACAGGGTTTGAGTGAGTCACGGGCTGGCCGAGGATTTGAGTCGGTGGGGTCTGGTGGGCCGGTGCGTGGCCGACTAAACCTGACCGTGCGATGTCCCGAGTCACCTACCTGCGACCTTCTTTCAAACCGAGACGATCCTGTTCCGCCTTCCTCCTAGCAGTTTCTTAGAGAGGCAAGTGGAAAAATATTTGGGAGCTGTGAAGTGCGTTATTAAGCGAGGTTGCATGCTGTACGTTAAAGAGCTTGATAAGGAAAAATGAATTTTCTAGATTGTTCACCGTCTTTAAAATAGGCAGAGTCCCCAAAGCAGTAGTTGAATGACACCCTAGAACGTCTCGTGGCTAAAATAGCCTCTGCAATGTGAAGTAGTAATCATAATCCCATTCCATATAAAAGGTGTTTAACCACATTTTACCTTTTTGTATTTTTTTTTTGTCAAAAGGTTTCAGATATTTGGGCATCTAATTGTTGCCAGTGTATTTATAATTGAATGAAAATGAATACCTGAGACAATAAACCTGGTTTGTTTGTTTTGCCGTAATCCTCTGTGGCAACCCACAGAAAACCAGAAATTAAAAGTAGGATCATCCAGCGAGGCAGTTAAGGCAGCCAGATCCCACGTGACGAACCCGAGTGGTTGGAGACTCGCTCCCAGCCTTGGACAACCTGAAAGGTGGGAGAGATGGAGAAGAAATTGCAATGTGACTGCCCCCCACTGGGAGTGCCTTCCCCCCCCAAAGTATTATTTTATTTATTTTTAATGATTTAATTTTGTTTATTGTCATTATTTTATTTTATAGTTTTTAAGGTTTACCAGAGAGGAACAGTGAGAGGGAAAGTGAGAAAGCAACCCACCAGGTCCAGGACTCAAATCATGGTCAGCCATGTAGGAGTTCAGTCACTTTAATCATCACACCATCTGTGGGCCCCTGTTTTATTTATTGCTGTAGGACTCATGTACTCACCAGAGAGAAACAGAGAGGGAAAGGGAGAAAATGAGAAAGCAAGACACCAGATCTGAATTTCAAACCATGATTGACCATGTGAGAGTCCAGTGCTTTAGCCACCATGTCACCTGCTGGTACCTTGGGAGTGCTTTTTCACTTTTTCTTTCTCTCTCTGGAAAACCAGACTCTAGCAAATTAAAAAAAAAAAAAAAAAAAAAAAAAGCTTCACCTGAAAGAAATGCTAAGTTGAGAGTTGTTTCTTTTTTCCTTTCTTTTTTTTGGAGAGGTTTTTGCTATAGGGTGTGTGCACTTTCCTGAAAGATAGAGAAACAGAGACACAGAAAGCGAGAAATCACCCCCCAGGGGGAATGGCTACACCACAATCCCTTCTCCTCCATTCTCCTCTTGGTATCTTGGGCATGCACACACACACACACACGGGGCATGAGTTTAAGCTACCATGTCTGGGACTCAAACCACAGTCGACTACATGGGAGTCCAGTGACATAGCCATTATGCCAACTACTGGTCCCAAGAGTTGTTTCTTTATAAGTATCACTGATGATACTGTTTCAATTTTTTTTTATATAAAGTCTGAGCTGAGATGCTCAGAAACCTAATAATGCTTTATTGAGATGTAATGCTATATTTACAGTCTAAATTCATTTGTTGACAATTTAAAAATCAAACTATAGGGGCCAGAAGGTGGCATGATAGTTAAGGCACTGGATTCCCACACGGTCGACTACAGTTCAAGTCCTGGACCTGGCAGCTTGGAAATCATGTTGGGTGTGTGTGCATGCCCAAAATCTAGAGAGGAAAATGGAGAAGAGATTGTAATGTGATCGTCTCCCCTCCCACACAGCAGGAGATACAGGGGGTGATTTCTCACTTTCCCTCTCTCTTTCTCTCTCTCTTTTTGGCAAGTACACATCCCTTATGGCAAAAACCTAAAAAACAAAAACAAAAACCCACTATAATATGAGAAGGTTTATAACAATGATAAAAGTGTGACTTCTATAAAATAATATATAGTGATAAGCACTTTTTACATATAATGATCTAAAACTAGATGGATGGGGGACAGGATATTTTTTAACAGTATTATTTTATTGAACTGTATTTGTTTTTTTATATTTTAATTTGATCAGAGAAGAACAGAGTGAGAGTGAGAGAGAGAGAGAGAGAGAGAAAGAGAAATGGGGGGGGGAGGGAGAAAGCAAGCCACGGGGCCGG